GCTGCACAATCCTCCCTGGTTCTCACCACCCTGAACAACTTAGTGTCATCCGTAAACTTAGCCACTTCACTGCTTACTCCCAACTCCAAATAATTAATGAACAAGTTAAAAAACACCAGCCCTAGAACCGAGCCCTGCGGTACCCCACTGTTTACTACCTTTCACTGTGAAAACTGCCCATTTATACTCTTTCCTATTAATTAACCAGTTTTTAATCCACAAGCGGACTTGTCCTCTGATCCTATGACTGCTGAGTTTACTTAGGAGCCTTTGATGAGGAACTTTATGAAAAGTTATCTGGAAGTTTAAGTAAACAACATCTACTGGGTCACCCTTGTCCACGTTTGTTCACCCCCTCAAAGAACTCTAAACGTTTAGTGAGACAAGATCTTCTGTTACAGAATCCATGCTGATGCTTTTTCAATCACTTTTGTTAATCAATGTGCCTATTCTGTCTTTAATAGCTGATTCCACCAACTTACCTGGTATCAACATCAGATTGACCAGCGTGTAATTTCCTGGATCGGACCCAGTACTAGGCCCTGCAGTGCCCCACTGCTTACCACCCTCCACTGTGAAAATTGCCCATTTATACTCACTCGCTCTTCCCTATTAATTAGCCAGTTTTTGATCCACAAAAGGACTTGTCCTTTTATCCCATGACTATTGAGCTTACTTAGAAGCCTTTGATGAGGAACTTTATCAAAAGCTTTCTGGAAGTCAAGGTAAACAACATCTATTGAGTCCCCCTTGTCTACATGTTTTTTCACCCCCTCAAAGAGCACTAACAGGTTAGTGAGACAAGACCTTCCCTTACAGAACCTATGCTGAGTCTGCCTCAATAGTTTTTGTTCATCAATGTGCCTACTAGTTCTCTCCTTAATTACAGTTTCCACCAACTTACCCAGTATTGACGTCAGACTGACTGGCCTGTAATTTCCCAGAACTCCTTTGGACCTCTTTTTAAAGATGGGAGTGACATTAGCTACCTTCCAGTCCTCAGGAATGGAGGCAGATTTTAATGAAATATTACATATTTTGTCAGGAGATACACAAGTTCACATTTGAGCTCTTTCAGAACTCTTGGATGTATGCTATCTGGGCCTGGTGATTTATCAGTTTTTAAGTTGTCTACCAGTTGTAGGACCTCCTCTCTCGTCACCTCAATCTGACTCAGGTCTTTCAACACCCTTCCTGAAATCAGTGGTTCTGGAGGGGGCAAGGACTTATCATCCACAACGAAGAAGCAAAAAATGCATTCAGCTTCTCAGCTATTTCCCTATTGTCCTTCATTAATCCTTCGTCATCCAAGGGTCCCAACTGCCTCCCTGGCTGGTTTCCCGCTTCTAATGTATTTGAATAAAGTTTTATTGTTGGTCTTTGTTTTTTGCAATATGCTCCTCATAATCCCTTTTTGCCTGCCTGATCACAGACTTTCATTTTATTTGCCACAGCCTGTGTTCCTTTTTTTCAACCTCACTGAGACTAGCTTTACCTTTTAAAGCTTCCATTACTTTGTTTGTTAACCATGCAGGCCTTTTTCTATACCTATTTGTGCCTTTCCTAACCTGCGGTATATATTTTAGCTGAGCTTCTAGGACTGTAGTTTTAAATAGTCTCCAAGCTTCCCCAATGGTTTTGACTCTTTCTACTTTTCCTTTCAGTTTCCTTTTCACATGTCCCCTCATTTCAGAGAAGTTACCCTTTTTAAAGTTAAAAGTGGTTGTGTTGGTCTTTTTGGGCAACTCCCAATTTATACAAATGTTGAACTCAATAACATTATGGTCACTGTTCCCAAGCGGTACAATCACTTTTACATTTCCCACCAGGTTTGGGCGTTACTTAGGACGAAATCCAGGATCGCCTCTCCCCTGGTAGGTTCTGTGACCATCTGCTCCATAGCACAGTCATTGAGAGTGTCTAGAAACGTAATCTCTTTTTCCCTACTTGAACACATATTGACCCAATTGGTGTGTGGGTAGTTAAAATCACCTATACGACACAGTTATTTTGTCTAGCCACTATCTTTAATTCATTCATCATGTTATAATCCTTCTCCGTCTTTTGATCTGGTAGGTAGGCGATAACAAACTCTCAGTGTTAGGGTTGCCAAATTTGTTTCACGTACCTCAAACGGCATGGCCCCGCCCCCAGCGTGCAACGTCACTTCCGGGTGACGCGCACGCGGGGGTGGGGTTTCCCCCGGGCCCCGATTCCGGCGCGCCGGGAATCGGGGCTCCGAAGCGGGGGAATCCCCGCCCCCCGGCTGCATTTGGCAGCCCTACTCAGTGTTAAGCTTCCTTTTGGGCCAACTATTTCAACCCATAGCGTTTCAAGAAGCGAATCCAATTCTCTTACCTTCTCAGTCTTACTGGACTGTATACCCTCTCTGACATACAGAGCCACCCCACCTCCAACCCTTCCCCTGCATCCCACTGATTTTGCTCATCCCACCAAGTTTCTGAAATAACCACAATGTCTACTCCCCCCCCCCAAAAAAAACACCAAACATTCCAACGCCCTGATTTTACCTCGGACACGTCTAGCATTTGTATATACATTTCCTAGGCATGTTAGGCCCACAGCCTTCCTCCTGCTGCTTTGAGACCTTGCCAGGCAGTCCATATTATTTGCCACAGTCTCAGTGAACAATTCTAATCCATTTCCCTGTAGAAAACTAACAGCTGCAAGTGCTCTCTCCAAGATGAGTGCCAAGGGGATCTGTCATCAAATTCCTATGGAAAAATACAAACATGAGAAAACATATTTGTTTCACTCAAGCCAATAGGCTAAGTATCTTCTTAAAAGTTTGCTTTGACAGAGAAATTAAAACCTGGCGAGATTATATGTAAAGAATAAGGCCAGCAGAGATGTATTACCTGTATGAAAGTGCTGTTGAACTTATACTATATATTCAATGTGAGTGGAAAACCACCCAGAAATTTCAAATAGTAATTTCAGAGGGGAGAATATCTCAGAAATGAGGCTCAGTTAAAAGAACATGGAAAGTATAATTAAAGTTACTTTAAAAAGCTAGGAGAGGAATAAATAAAATGGGAGGAGGAAAGGAGGGAAAGCTGAAGACATGGGGTGGGGGAGTGGGGAGTGGGTGGGAGAGAAAGAAGCAGGAAAAGGGAAGAAACTACGGAGTGCTTTCAGGAAAGGGAAATAATGTAGGAGAAAATGAGATCTCCCTAGAAAATAATTGCAGGTCCAGTGCTTGTAAGATAAAAGTTAGCCAAGAATGTGAGCCATACCAGGTGGGACTGCTATCTATTGTTGGAATATTATTTTTGAATATCTTTAAGTATAGGAAATGTAATTGATCTGGATCATCATCTCTAAAGATCCTCCTTGCCTGTAACCTGCTTACTTTTGGTAAACCATTTTAATAGGCTCAAATAATTCCTTTATACCTATGCAAGACCAATGGATATTCTTTTAAGTTTGTTAAAAGTATAAATAAAAATATAAAATGGAGGCAAGATCCTTGTGATGTGCAGCCTCTAGTAACATCCTCCAGGCATCACAGCCAATGGCTACCTACAGGGGGAGACTGTGGAAGCCTGGGGAGAGTGAGGAGGTAAAGTTAATCATTGCCTCAGATAGGGCTTGGAAGCAGGGGCAAAGCGAAAATTACCAGAACTGCTAGGCTTTGCCAGGTGAAGAAAGAGCTCAGGAACCTATAGTTTAGATACTTAGGACTCAGGGGCCTGTGAAGAGGCAGAAATAGAGCAGGTCTCCTGTGTTACCTTAGGGAAATAATGGAATAGTGACCGAGGAAAATATACCAAGAGACAAGCTAACATTGTTTCAAGATGCTGAGATTCTTGGCTTTGGGGAGAAGTTCCAAATAAAATCCTTTTCTTTCACACACATGAACAGCCTGTCATTTTAGTACAGCTGGGGGTATATAAAATTGTAACCCATCTAATGTAGAGCTTATGCTCTCTCTTGCTGTACATAGCAATACCTTGTTTGTTACATTCCTTCAGATACCCACCAAACCACTAAGCCCTTCTAAAGAAGAGACAATAAACCTGTTTTCTTTTGTTATGGAATTAAGGTGTTGGGTTGAATCATTTTGGAAGAAGAGGGATGGGAGCAGTGAAATCACCTCAGATTCCTATTCTACCTTTCAAGGCTTCTCCAGTGACAGTATCATGTAATTCGGTAGTTTATTCATTAAAACTGCCTCACTGACCAGTCCTAACCCATGCGATAACCACTTCTACTGAAAGATGTGAACTTAATATGTGGGGAGCTGAGTAAGTACCTTGCCTTGACAGTTCTCTAGGAGGATTTTACTTGTGTACTCTACCCAAAATGAAGCAAACCCCTCCCCCCACTGTTGAGGTGTACCTTTTGCCAGAAGATGAATGACTTGATACAGGAGCACTACCTAGCTGCCTTGGGCCTCTTAAGTGCATGGTTATATCTGAATCAGGCCTCACCAGAGTCATCTGGAACACCATGAGGATTTATATTGGGAAAGCATTATTAGCCATAAATGTTTCAGGGTGGGGTAGCTAATTTTGCAGTCACCACATTATCTAGGAATGTGAACATCTCAAGCACATTCTCAAAAACAACAGAAGTATATCTCCAAAGTGAGTGCATGTAAGTCTGAAGTGATGAACACTGTAAAAAAAAAAACACTTTGTCACCTGTGTATTATGTGGAGTGAAGTGACGGTAAATTGATTTACCAAAAAAATAGATATTGGGGACACAGTGGGAAACTCAGTGAAAAGGTCCTCTAATTGTCATTAGCCTTGACAGTGGAGAACCTCCATGTTCAGTGGCAGAAACCTCAAGATTATTAGATGCTAGAAACAAAAACAACAGGAAGGGCTATCTGACTAGCTATAAACAGAATTTGGCCCAGCTCGGCAAGGTTTCACTTATGGTAGGATCCAAGAGATAACCTCACCAAACAGTCACTGAAAAGCAGTGCTCATCTCGAGTACATCAGAAGGAAATAGCTACACCAGAATATGGTTTGGTGCAAATCTTTTATTGACCATTTGTACATGTCCATTCATACGTCTCTGGTATAAATGCCATCAACTTGCCACAAAGCATTAAAGCAGAGTAAGCCCAACTTTCCATAAACAAGTTCTGTAATTTCTTCTCAGTCTAAACAAGATGTCTTGACAGCAATCAGACATTATTTTTTAAAAAGAAAAATGGGGGACCCATTCTGTAAAAATGCAGATGTCTATATTAAATTGTACTTCCAGGGAAAAAAAAGACAAAAATTCACTTGAAGAAAATGTGCCTCAAGAGTCTTTGGATAAAAAACAAAAACAAAAAACTCCTCCCACATATAACCCATTCCAGACAATCTGGCCTTTTTGGGACTTCTGGGGAGAATCTTGTAAACACCTTGCAAACATTAAAAGCTAAGCCTAGAGAATATTGCTAGGTGGAAATTGGCAGTCATGGGGACAAGGTAGGACAAGGTGTATCTGGTGCAGTGTGATACCTTAAAGCTGCCAGCAGTCCTGTTGAACTGAATGCAGCACTTGGAGTGCTAGTAAGAGTTCTGGAACAGTATCCCCAACAATTACCAGCTTGCATTTCTAAGAAGGGCTCTTCCAGCTAAGAAGCTTTCCAATCAGCACAAGAACAGAGTGATATCACTGGTCTCAAAGTGGCTGAATGAAGAAATCCTAGGAAATCCATGGATACTTCTGCACAAGAAACTTACATGGCAGAGACAAAACAATACACAGACAATGCGATGTTTGCAGCAGTCCTTCATGAGACTAGAAAACCTGTTAGCTCTGAAAGCCCTAGACAGATGCCAACATGTCAGAGAAACCTCCTACTTGACATAGGAACACATTTTGTGTTTTGCTTTGTTTTTGCATGCTAACATTTCCTACACCACTTCTGCTCTGGCCTTAGGCGTTCTGCATTTCTTTGCCAATCTTGTAGCTGAGGATTTTGTTCCAGTCAATCTTGGTACGGGTGACAGGCAGTTGGCGGCGTAAGGCTTTGAACGTTGTGTCTGACATAGTCTGGTAATTTTCACTGATTGCTGTCTGCAAACAAGAAGGTTTGAGATTAAACTTCTTAAAAAATACATCATTTAAATAAGCGTTGGTTAAGCTATTATCAAAGCCTGAAAGATGTATGGCCTTCTTGAATCCCCACAAAGCATGCTTATGGATAGGAGGTCACCCATGAAATCAGTTATACATTGCAGAAAGAGAAGTGGAACTCCTTTCTGGAGATCATATAGTAAAAGAAGAGACAAGGAACCCGACCAGTTGGCAGATCAATATACTTATATCCAAATCTTCCACAATCACATTGGAAAAGGCATGGATCAGAATTTAAAGAGAAAAGGGGCATGGATGACTGAAGCTAAATACTCCCAAAGTTTCTCTCTCCTCTTCTTGTTTCTCCAGGCATTTCCCCACTCACTGGGCTCTGGTCTAGTACTAGAACCTAGCTTGGATAAAGGGGAGTTTGGAGAATAGATTGAGGGAAAGTTAAGCTGCAGGCTCCTTAAATAAGACCCTCCATTTTCTATATGACCACAGAAGATCCATATTTAATGCATCTGTAACTATCTAGTTCGGCTCAAATACAAGCAGGACTGCAAGGCACCAACCCAGATAGGACATTAAGATTTTATTCTGTATTGAGGGCAAGCTCTGGTGTTATTATGAGAAGTATGTATCTTACTTTTCCCTCAAAACAGCTGTAATGCATCTCTTTACTCTCCTATCCATGGAACTATGTGCCAGTGTAGCAGCTTTCATCATTAAGCATCACAATTTACACATGCCTTGATCACTGAATTAATTATGGTTTCATGGTTATAAGGACAAGGGGGGGGGGGCTTAACCCAAAAGAATGATTTAAGAACCTAGGTTAAATGAATCCAAATGGAAGGGCCCAGTATTCAAATCAGAATATAAGACATAAATATATATAATATACAAAAAATACATGTATTTATTACAAAATGATTTCAAATACAGTGGAGTGGGATGTATAACTTAAAACATCTTCATCATGTTACATGTTAAGTTGCTGTTCAGCCAGTCTGTAAGTTTGAACCTTCCCAACCATTCCACTGTATTTGAAAAAGTGCACTTTGCACACGAGAGCTCATACCTTGAATAAACCTTTGTTGGTCTTAAAGGTGCCACTGGACTCTAAATTTGTTCAAGGAAGAGATGTAATTAAGAGGCCTCATCTGAAATCACCTTCTGCCCTAGTCAGGTACACGTATCTTGAGTGGTAATTCAATTGTGTACCTTCCTATTCTGGTCCAAAGAAAATCACTTTCAAGTGCAGTATGGAGCCAATGTAACATAGTAGTGTATAGTGCCATGTAATTGTTTTTAAATCATTGTGATTTGTTTTTGTAGATTTGATATTTATGTTTTATATTCAATTATTTGAATACTGGGCCCTTCAGTTTGGATTCATTGAACCTTCTAGGTTCTTTGTTTCATGGTAAAACCAATGTGTTAAAAAAATGGCCCTGCTGTATTGTAAGACATAAGAACCAGATCTAGATCATTGCTCCTACCAGCTAACAAGGGACAGAGCACTCATTAATCCACTTTCTGGGGCCAAGTTCAGTATTAGATTTGTGTACCCGGGGGGGGGGGAGAACGACAAGGATGAAGGGAAGAACAAACAACAGACCACATTGCTTTGGAGTAGAAAAAACCACAGCTTTTATTGAGTACAATCATAAGAGTACCAGTGCAACATAGGGCATGGATCCAGCATTGAGTGACCTACCTGTCAACCAATGAACACCCCTCCCCCAGCTTGCCTGCTGGGGAAGCAACCACAAGATGGCAAGTCCAGGAGTCTCACATGGGTGTCAGCCACTGCGTGGTTTCCTTGCCACCTGAGGGTTAGAGCTGAATGCCAGCCCCTGAGCTAGGCATAATGTGGACAGCCCCACCCTCAAGAGCCCTTACAGGGGTCCCCAGACCCAGGGAGGCAGGCATGTATACTCAGCCTCCCTAAAACTGGATCCAGGCAAATGCTGAAACCACCTGACAAAGCTGTGACAAACATTCACCAGAAACATTCATATCAAACCCTGAGCCAAATACTGAAACACAAGAACCAAGGGAGGGTGGGCAGGGATGGAAGAGCTGACTGTGTGGCCAAGCCCAGGCTGCAGCTCTCTAAATATTGGACGGGTGGACCAGACTGAAAACTCAGGCTTCCAGGTCCATGCCTTGAAGCTCCACCCCTCCCTCAGAGAGCTCAGTGCCTGATTGGCTGCTGCACCACACAGGTAGAGGGGAAATTCTTCCCCTTTGCTTGCTCCATAACCCCACCAATGCAGAAGCATCCCTGGGTAAACTGGAGGGGGGGGATAGTTTATAGATATATATTTTTATCCATTAAAATGAATACCAAAAAAAGTTTAAAAACAGTGCTTTACCTGATACTCATTTTCTGCATGTTCAATAATTTTAATAAAATCCTTGGCTGTCTGAACATCATTCTAAAAAAGTAAGAATTAACATTTGGTCTTATCATCATGTAATGAAGCTTCTAAATGAATCTGTTCACAAAGTTCAACAGTTTAGAAAATGAAAGATTACTGCCCTCTACAGGAAAACGCAATACAGATGCAACATGTAACCCACACATGCTGTAGTCCTTCCTCTTCTTTATAATCAGGTCTAGAATGAATTATGCAAACTGAACAAATGTTAATTTGTTAGCAGATAATGCTGGTTGCATAACTTTCTATTGTATTCATTTTGTGATATAATATACTAAGAATACATATGATTCTTCAGATACGGCAAATCATGATTTGCTGCTATGTGCACCAGACTGCTAGATTCTCAGGATCATGAACTCTTTCTCTTCTTCTATGGCTTCTAATTTTGTGGTAAACTTTACCTTGGATTATGTTCTACCCTACAAAAAAAGGACTAAACTGTGGTTTTGAATCCTGGTTTTCAGGGGAAGAGTCCAAACCTCAGTCTGTGGTTCATATGTATCAGCAAACCATAGTTTGCCACATAAATCTTTAATTAGATCCCTATTTGCAAGGGGAGGGATTATAAAGAATGTGAGTCTGAGGACTGCTCAGGCTCATTCCAATAATGCTATAACTATAGCTTGGTTTAGAGTAAATGCAGGGATGCAAGTTAGAAGACAGATACCTTTTCAACCCTGAACTTTCAGACAGAATGCTTCATAGTCCAGACTGTTTCTGACTACAAATCTTCAGCAGCAATTGCCTGGAAATTTTCAAGTTCTATTTGAGCACTAGGGACTTGAAAAAAATAAAACTTAAGCATCTCAAAACTAATCTACCAAGTTTTCTACTGGAAATCAGAATCTGAAAATTAGTATGCTTGCTGAGGAATAATTGGGACTGACGTTAGCTCTTCTTAACTCAGCAATAAGATGCAGAGGGTTTTCTCTAGAGGACAGAGACGGTAGCCTTCACCTGCAGCATGCCTTCCTAAACAGCTCTCTATACAAGCCATTCATGGTACTCGTTTTCTACCACAGCAAGGTACTTGCTGCCCTCAGCAACCATCTTACTAAAAAATAAAATAAAGCAGAAATCCAGTGACACCTTAAAGACTGACTACCTTTATTCCAGCAGGAGCTTTTGTGAACCAGAGGTCCCTTCTTCAGGTGTTATGAAGAGAAAATCTTTTTTCAGCTTTTTGTAAGTAAAATTACAGAAGGGGGAAGGAAGAAGTTAGGCCAGAGAGGAGCTTGGTATGAATCATACATCTTCAGGTGTGAATATCTGTGCAAGGGACAGAATTGATTTGGTTGTTAATGGATGATAAGAAAGGTCAGGTTCCAGACTGTCGTGAGGTACAGATAAAGAATGAAGCAGAATAAACAACTAATTGTCTGACACATAAAAAAATTAACTGACATAAGTGAGGAGTTATAGTATGATACAACATATCAAGCTTCTGTAAAGTAGGTCCTGTAGAGCTATCAGAAATTATAGTATGGAAATCCAACTCTCTAAGCCTTCATGAGAATGTTTAAATTGATGAGTTATAATTCAGCACTTTTGTATTTTGTGGGCAGTAAGTGAGATTAATGAGCAGTAAGCTTAAAACAGATAAAAGGAAGTACTTCTTCACCCAAAGAGTAATTAACATGTGGAATTCACTGGTGCAGGAAGTGCTGGTAGTTACAAGCACAGACCGCTTCAAGAGGGGGTTGGATAAGCATATGGAGCAGGTATAGAGGGAACACTATATATGGGCAATGAAGCTCTGTATTCTTGATGCTTGGGGGGGCAACAGTGGGAGGGCTTCTGGAGTTCTGGCCCCTCTGGTGGACCTCCTGATGGCACCTGGGTTTTGGCCACTCTGTGACACAGAGTGTTGGACTAGATGGGCCATTGGCCTGATCCAACATGGCTTCTCTTATGTTCTTTTTGTATATTCTGTGATTTTTTTTCTTTTTTTGTACAACAGTGACTTTCAGATCTGCAACAGTATGGGCTTGGGTTTCCTTGCAACAACTTTAACTGGTTCTTCTTAACATTGTATTATACTAGAACCCTCTACTGACATCAGTTAATTTTCTTATGCTTCAGATGGCTTCTTCCTTGATTTACTATTGTTTATCCTATATCTGTACTCTATGCTTGGTTGGAACCTCTGACCTCTCTCATCTTCCATGTTGGAATAAATGTTATTAGTCTTCAGGGTGCCACTGGATTGTTTTATTTTGCTACAATAAACACAGTTAACCCTCAGTAAAAGCCTCCCTAAATGGAACCAGGTCTGAAAGCAGAATTACATGCAGCAAAAGAAACAGATTAAATGTTCCACTCACCGAAACAGCTACAGAATCCTGTATGTCTTTGTGACTAACCAACTGCACATTACCATCTTCATAATAATGTACCTAAATTAAAGCAAGACCCATACAGATTTGAGTGCTATCACAGTAGCATTTAGAGGTCCCAATTCTATTAACAACTGTATAAAAACAAAGGACCTAGGAAAGTCTCCTCCCACCCAAACTGTACTTTGGCTGTCATTCATAGCAATATAACGGCAGAAGAAGAGCTGGATTTATACCCCGCCCTTCACCTGAAGTCTCATAGCAGCTTACAATCACCTTCCTTTCCTCTCCCTACAACAACAGACACCCTGTGAGGTAGGTGAGGCTGAGTGCTCTGACAGAACAGCTCTAAGAGAGCTGTGACTGACCCTAGGTCACCCAGCTGGCTGCATATGGAGAAGTGAGGAATCAAACCCAGATCTCCCACATTAGAGTCCACCGCTCTTAACCACTACACCAAATTGGCTCTCTAAGCCAGATGAATTTTCTATAGGATCTTTGTTCTTTCTTTAACCAGGCCAGGTATCATGCTAGACTTACAGCAGTGAAAAAGGCTTCATGGCACAGTAAGCCAAAACTTGTTCACATCATATGGGAGAAAAGCAGAAGCCAAATCACCAGGACGAGAAGGTTGGTCCTATCAGGCTTCCTACTGGCACAAGGAGGACCAATATCACCTGATCCCTTTCCTTACTGCAAGGAAGGATCCCTTTCTTCTTTTGTGACCCTTTGTCCATATGGGTCCCATAATATCCAACATGTCCTTTCGGGGGTTAAAAAAGGATCTTTTTCTCTTGCAAGGGATTCTTTGGTTTAAAACAGTAATTGTATGCTAAAGAATCATCTTAGAATGGCTTCTTTGCACAAATCAAAGGCTTTGCCTACAGCAGAGCTGAAGATAACTTTTTAAAAGATCAGATTAAACAAAAAACAAAAACCCTCCTAAAGTTCCACTATATAATTTAAACTATTAATGATCAGATTCCTCCAACTCCGTCCTAATTTGGATTCATTTTCTTCTTTAAGTCCAGGGTTTCACTGCATTTATCTTTCTTAGAATTTAATGAAAAGCTGAGTAGCCAAACAAAAGAGTAAAGTTTTACTAGAGCTCACAAAGACTATAAAAATTGGGATGGGTGGGGTCTCATGGATGTGAACTTCTGCAACCCCAGTATACACTTATATTACAGCACATAAACAAAAAATGGAAATGTATTCAAAACTACCCCTATGTTTGGCAAAATACTAACAAAAACACAATTTTAAGCACACAAAAAAGCTAACTTTTTATACTACAAACACATTGGTTGTTTTGGGGATAGTACAAGTATATACCCAAGTGAGTGTTTTGCTCAAAAAACTTCCCACAGTGAGTGTTTGCCGACACTGGGGGAAGAAAATGATGCAAAAAGCCCCAGATGCAAACCCCTTCCCCCTAAAAGCTGCTTAATGGAATCCCACAGAGCTAATTTAAATTTGAAGAGGATGCTGAGACAGATAGCTAGGGGATGGAGATTGATTTGTGAAATTCAATGAGTGTGGATTTCTACAAATCATCCCTGATTTAAGTTTTGCTAAAAATGTTAATCTTAAACTGAGCTTCATCATATTATGGGTATAATTTTGGCAGGATTCATAATGTGGATTTGACGGAAGATTTCCAGGTATACACCACTCCTTGCAGAAACACTAAAATTACTCTTTGTCATCTATGCTTATACTAAGTGAAAACGATTGTAACTCTACTATCTTGTCCATGTGCACGGATGCAGTAAAACATTTTTTCAAATCCATTTTTTAAAAAACAAAATGAAGTTTTCTGTATTTGCCATATATTCCATTGCTCCATATAATTTGTATATTTAAATGCTACCTGTTGCTGCAGTTCTTTCACTATTGTCTGTGTGGTTGACAATGTATTATGAAATTTTCCTTTTCATTTACACATTGTTGGAACAAAACAAATGACAACATGAGTCTGTTATTGTCAGTTATAATGCTCATTTTTACACACTGCAGATATTTATTTATACTTTTAAAACTTTGGACAAACCATGGGAGGTGGCACCCAGCACAGCTCTCTTTAAATCTAGACCAGCACCATGAGTTTTCTTCAAGGGGAAGCCTCATAAAATCTACCAAGGGAAATATTCCCTGATATTGTATCAAAGGCAAATTCTTCCCAACCTCCTATCATAGAAATTTCATACCAGGTAAGTTAGAGGTCTCTCTTGTGGATCACTGCCTTGATATGGCGAGGGGGCTTGCATGGTTTGATTAGGCTGTGGGCTATGCCATGGATGACCACCCAGGACGGACAGGCCACAGCAGAGAACTCAGACAAAATGTGATCCACTGGAGAAGGAAATGGCAACCCACTCCAGTATCTTTGCCAAGGAAACCCCATGGACAGTAACAAAAGGCCAAAATATATGATGCTGGAAGATGAGCCCCTCAGGTCAGAAGGTGTCAAAATATGCTATTGGGGAAGAGCAGAGGGCAAGTACAAATAACCCCAGAAAGAGTGAAGCGGCTGGGCCAAAGCCAAAAGAATGCTCATTTGTGGATGTGTCTGATGGTGAAAGGAAAGGCTAATGCTGCAAAGAACAATACTGCATAGGAATGTAAGATCTATGAACCAAGGTAAGCTTGATGTGGTCAAAAATGGAATGGCAAGACTGAACATCAACATCTAGGGAATTAGTGAACTAAAGTGGACGGGAATGGGCGAAATTAACTCAGAAGACCATTATATCTACTACAGTGGCCAAGAATTCTGTAAAAAAAAAAAAATGGTGTGGCCTTAGTCTATGCCCCAACCACTGATGCAGAAGAGGCTGAAGTGGACCGGTTCTATGAAGACCTACAGCACCTCCTAGAACTAACACGAAAAAAAGATGTCCTCATCATCATAGGGGACTGGAATGCTAAAGTAGGAAGTCAAAAGGTAACCGGGATAACAGACAAGTTTGGCCTTGGAGAACAAAATGAATCTGGGCAAAGGCGAACAGAGCTTTGTCAAGAGAACATGGTTGTCATAGCAAACACCCTCTTCCAACAACCTAAGAGGTGAGACTACACATGGACATCACCAGATGGGCAACAAATCAGATTGATTATGTCATTTGCAGTCAAAGATGGAGAAGCTCAATACAGTCAGTAAAAACAAGACCTAGAGCTGACTGTGACTCAGATCATGAGCTACTCATTGCAAAATTCAGGCTTAAACTGAAGAAAGTTGGGGAAATCACTAGGCCATTCAGGTTTGACCTACCTCACATCCCTTAGGAATATACATTGGAGGTGAAGAATAGGTTTAAGGGACTAGACTTGATAGACAGAGTGCCTGAAGAACTATGGATGGAGGTTCATGACATTGTACAGGAGGCAGCAATCAGCACTATCCCGAAGAAATAGAAATGCAAGAAAGCAAAGTGGCTGTCTGATGAGGCTTTACAAATAGCAGAGGAAAGAAGGAAAGTGAATGGCAAAGGTGAAAACAGCAAGGAGAGAAAAGGAGGCTTTCCTGAGTGAACAATACAAAGTAATAGAGGAAAACAATAGAATGGGAAGGACTAGAGATCTCTTCAAGAAAACTGGAGAAATCAAGAGAACGTTCCGTGCAAAGCTGGCCATGATAAAGGACAAAAACAGTAGGGACCTAACAGAAGCAGAAGAGATTAGGAAGAGATGGCAAGAATACACAGAACTATACAAGAAGAATCTCAATGTCCTTGATAACCACGACGGTGTGATCACTGACCTTGAGCCAGACATCCTAGAGTGCAAAGTCAAATGGGCCTTAGAAAGCATTACTAACAACAAAGCTAGTGGAGGTGATGGTATTCCAGCTGAGCTATTCAAAGTCTTAAAAGATGATGCTATTAAAGTGCTGCACTCAATATGCCAGCAAATTTGGAAAACGCAACAGTGGCCGCAGGACTGGAAAAGGTCAGTTTACATTCCAATCCCAAAGAAGGGCAATGCCAAGGAATGTTCAAACTGTCGCACAATTGTACTCATTTCACACGGTAGCAAGGTCATGCTCAAGATCCTACAAGCTGGGCTTCAGCAGTATGTGGATAGAGAACTGACAGACGTACAAGCTTGGTTTCGCAGTTTTAAAGAGATTGGAGTACCAGACCACTTCACATGTCTCTTGAGAAACATGTATAAGGGTCAAGAAGCGACAGTTAGAACCAGATATGGAACAACTGACTGGTTTAGCATAGGAAAAGGAGTACGACAAGGATGTATATTGTCACCTTGCTTATTTTTAAAGAGATTGGAGTACCAGACCACTTCACATGTCTCTTGAGAAACATGTATAAGGGTCAAGAAGCGACAGTTAGAACCAGATATGGAACAACTGACTGGTTTAGCATAGGAAAAGGAGTACGACAAGGATGTATATTGTCACCTTGCTTATCTAATTTATATGCGGAGTGCATCATACGAAATGCTGGATGAATCACAAGCCGGAATTAAATTTGCTAGGAAAAACATCAACAACCTCAGATATGCAGATGATACCACTCTAATGGCAGAAAGTGAAGAGGACCTAAAGAGCCTCTTGCTCATGATGAAACAGGAGAGTGCAAAAGTTGGCTTGAAACTCAACATAAAAAAAATGAAGATCATGGCACCTGGCCCCATCACTCCTTGGCAAATAGAAGGGGAAGTCATGGAAGCAGTTACAGATGTCACGTTCCTGGGATCCAGGATCACTGCCGACGGTGACTGCAGCCATGAAATTAAAAGACGCCTACTCCTTAGGAGGAAAGCGATGGCAAACCTAGACAGAATAATAAAAAGTAGAGACATCACCCTGCCAACAAAAGTCCGTATGGTCAAAGCAATGGTAATCCCAGTAGTAATGTATGGCTGCAAGAGTTGGACTATAATGAAGGCCAAGTGTTGAAGAATAGATGCTTTCGACTTACGGTGCTGGAGAAGACTCTTGAGAGCAATGTTCCCTCTAAGCTGTGGAGCCTTGTGAGCAAAAATTCTACTCTGTGAGCTACTGGCATTAAAGTTGTGAGTGAGCGATGTGGCTGCTGCATCGATTAGTTTGCTCTGGAGCCCTCCTTCCTGAGCTAAGACAGAAATGTGTGAGCTGAAGGCTAAAAAAACTGTGAGCTAGCTCATACTAACTCATCTTAGGGGGAACACTGCTTGAGAGTCCCTTGGACTGCAAGGAGATCGAATCAGTCAATCCTAAAAGAAATCAACCCTGACTGTTCCCTGGAAGGCTAGATACTGAAGCTGAAGTTCAAATACTTTGGCCACCAAATGAGAAGGGAGCTCTCACTGGAGAAGGCCCTGATGCTGGGAAAGACTGAAGGAGAAAGAAGAAGGGGACGGCAAAGGATGAGATGGTTAGACAGTGTTATTGATGCAACAAACATGAAATTAAGTAAACTCCGGAGCACGATGGAAGACAGGAGGGCCTGGTGTGATGTGGTCCATGGGGTAGTGAAGAGTGAGACTCGACTGTGCAACTGAACAACAACAACTACAAGTTACAGGTAGATTAATGTAATCATCCATCTTTAATGAAGAACACAGATGTAGTGTCCTAACTAGGGAAAATAATGCTTTTTGTCTTTAGTGTGCACTCGTTTCTCTGTAAGGCCCAGATATAGCCTTCAGGTCAGCTTCAGGGGGACGGTGCTCTTCCACAGTTCCTGTGACCAGCTTTGGGCCTCTCTTACTTCAGGTCTAGGACAGGATTTGGTTCTCCCTCTACTGCAATGAGTGGCTCCACTGAAACTGTCCCTCTTTCATTCAGTAATACCTTTGGGCCAGCCTTGCCCCCCGAGATAGAGCCTTTCCTGCACCACTCTCCTTCCTCTGCCGTTTACCTGCTGTTCCCCAGCCCTGCCTATTTCTTGCCTTCCTAGTATTGCTCATGAGCATGTTTATGAGGAGGTTTTCCTCCTGTTCCTCAACAACCATGGCAAACCTGTCCTGGCCACTTCCCACTTCCACAACATCACTGGTGTTTCTCATGGTGCCTTTTCTCCCTGCCTTACTCTTAAGAGTATGGTATGACATGTCAGCAGCACAGCATAACTGACCTGGATCTTGAGTACAGCAACCACCTGAGCCGTAGGTGGTGTGATGGTAAACTTCCACTCTGACCTCCAGCGCCCATTCCTACATAAATGAGAGCAGATGCTGACCATGAACAAAACAACTTCTCAGAGGGGAAAAACTACAAGACACAATTTCATATCCCTAGAAGGTCATGCATAAATGCAGACTCAATAAGAACCTCTTCCCCAAATAGCTCTATTTAAACATGACGACTTGAAGCTTTTGCCTCTGCAGCCAAATTCCATTGCAATTAATTTAGATGGCGACACAGATGGAGATCAACAGCTTCACAGCTGAAGCTCACCTTCTTTACAAAAGAAGGTGGGGGTAGGGCAGAGAAGTGTTTCCAGTTCCTGAGCCTATTAAGCAACATAGGAGAAAGGAGAATGGGAGTGTGCTCCTCATGCATTACTTAATGACTTATTTGTGATGATTTATTCTTACTCTAAGATTTTCAGAGCAAGTTGCTAACTAAGTGGAGACAGATATATTTTAGATCTGTGGGGAAAGAAGCCAGGATGGAGGACAGATTTGTGCTGAACACAATTTGCAGAAAAGTATTTTAGAAATGCTTACCAGAAGTTTTTGGGCTGAAACTGATGACTCTCAATGCAAGCAATGACCGTTGGCTGCCCATCTATAGTCTTTCCATAAACCTGTTGCCAAAAAGAAAGCTTACATAAGACACACTGGAAGCCAAACCTGGTTGTCCTTTAAATGTTACAACAGCTCACCTGAGGATTCCTCCCACTTTATTGCTTTAATGTTCACAGGCTTGCCAACCTGCGGACAGGTCTAAATGCTTGGGCTCTTACCACCCATGACAGCCACAGGACAACTGTATGACAAGGACTCAGTGGTCTAGCTAACTTGAAAAAACACCAGACTAAGATTTCATAGCCTGTCTTCTGGGGGATTGGTGCAACTAGAGATGTGTGACAGAAAAGTTTTCAGTGATGGGTTTTTTTTGGTGGATAATTTTCCATTTCTAAAGATACATTGTTGTTGCATATAATGAACAACAATGAATGAATTCCACTGCTATTACAACATTAGGTAATTTGGCAGTTTCAAAGCTGTAATTAATGATTTTTTCAGCTGAATATGCCCAGGAAATATGTATGTACACTTATGTTTTATTGATCTATAAACTGGGGTAGAGAGATAAAACCACACATATAATAATCCAAATTAAATAATCAAGTTATAAATGCACCTGATTGCTTGTGAAAGTCAAATCAAAATCAAATGCATATTTTACTGTACCCTAATTTAATAAGTATACTAATAAGTATATATTAGGGAGTAAATTAGGCAGTAAAATATTAAATAAGGCAATTAACCTCTGAATACCAGCTCCAGGAAGCCACATCAGTGGCATCCCTGATTGTTTCTGCAGGTCAAATCAAAATCAAATGCATGTTTTACTGTACCCTAATTTAATAAGTATATTATAGTAAGTATATTAAATTAGGCAGTAAACCTCTGAATACAAGCTGGAAGAAGCCACATTAGGGGAAGGCCTTGATCTCCATGTCCTGTTGTTGGACATCCAGAAGAACTGGTTGGCCACTGTACAAGACAGGATGCTGGACTAGACAGACCACTGGTCTGATCAAGCAGGGTTCTTCTTATGTTCTTTTGGTATGCCAACATGAGTGTCCCAACAGTTTTCAGCATCTTTAGTTTCTTTCTTAAATGTAAATAATGTAAGGGAAGCACATACTATATTCCTTTTATGTTTTTGCAAGTCACCATAAAAATAACTTCCATATAAAGCTTTGAATGTAATCGAACGTTTAAAAGAAAACAGAAGTCTAGTGGCACCTTTATTCCAGGGTGAATTTTTGTTAGTGCTCACTTTTTCAGATGTTATGAAGAGGGAACTCATTTTGCACATGTTTATAACAAATTATGGGGGCAGAAGGAAGGAGATGGGGCAGTGAAAGGAACCTGTCATACAGTATGCAGGTATAATTTTCTGTATAAGGGACGGGAACAGGTCAGGTGAGGTTACACATAATAGATGATGAGGTCAAAAGTTACAGCCTCGCTTTCATGCAGTGCAAATGAACAAAAGTGTAATTAAGAGTTTCCAAAACAAGTCTCTCTGCCCCACCTCCCCACTGTAATTTTCGTTATAAACTTGTACAAGATAACCTCTCTCTAATTTGCATCTGAAGAGGCAATATCATGAAAGTTCATGCTTGAATAAATGTTGTCAGTCTTTAACATGTCACTAGATTCTATGTTATTTTGGAAATATAAACCACCTGGTTTTCTATCTCCTCTAAATCAAATATTTCAGTACTTGTTGCTACTAGGACATGGTATAAGACACTTTAAAAATGTGTCTCCTAAATAGAAAAAATTTAAAAATGCTAAATTATATCACTCACTCTCTATTTAGAGCATCAGATCACTTCCCAGAATATTTTCCTATTCTAATCCTCCCCTCAGATCCTATATTACTGGTTGCAGCTTACATGTGTTGCATGCATACTTCCCCACTATGCTCCCTTATTGCCTGCACAACCAGATAAGTTTCTTCCATTACACTGAACTCGTAAAGTAAGTTTATGTCATTTCTCCCAGATAATTTTTGCAATCAAGAAATCAGGAGATGGGAAGGTCAGCCATGAAGGAGCTAGAAAAGTTGGACAATGAAGAAAGCTGAAGAACAAATTTAGAGTCCAGTGGCACTTTTAAGACCAACAAAGGTTTATTCAAGGTATAAGCTTTTGTGTGCATGCACACTTTTTCAAATACATTGGAATAGCAGGTAAGGTTCAAACAACTTATAAATACTGAGACACTTATATATTAATGTCATATTCTAACACAGAAGAAACAAGGTATTAACATTTGCAGAGTTAAATTACCGTTGTTCTGTATGTTAATCAATGTGTCACCATTAAAAGAGGTTGGATACTTAACCGTACAAAAGCCATGCGGGTAGTGATCCTTCACATAGGCTCTTAATGCGTTGTCACAAGCATCCCTCCAAGACTTGAGTGCTGCATCTGTGTCTTCTGGCTGGCAATCACTGGCTTCTTTCCGTAAATGATCAAACTTAAAGGAAAGCTTGTTCCTTGGGTCTAAAAATCTGCCATTACCCTGATCACCATGTTCTGTAATTAATACCTTAAAAAAGAAAAGAAAAAATCAGCCTATAATAAAACAGTAATTTAATCACATCTTTCTGCACCAGATTTCCTAAGCTAATGTTTCATGAAAGTTAGGTATTGAGAATTCCATAATTTCTTCCAGGACAGAAATTCCTGTGACACTGCAGTACTAACAGCTTGCCCAAAAGGTAAAAAACCTTCACCCTTATGCAGGTGTCTGCTAAACTATCATAAAGATACCACCCCAACTTATCAACATATTAATTCTACTTTCAAGTAGTGAAACTTGTGGAGAAGAAAATATTTAGTCAGAGGCCAATATACTCAACCCTGGGATTATTATGACATGGCTTGAAAAAAAATGTGTGTGTGTATGTACTCTTTTTGGAAAACACACAGAGACATGCTCAGAATTATGGATTGCACAAATCCTTCTCTTTGTACATACAGTTCAGTGCAGATGTAGTCAATACCCTTTAAGAATCCCAACAAGCCATTTTCTAAGCACAGTGTTCAAAGAAAAAAAGTAAGGTAAGTAGTGGTCAAGTTTGCATTCAGCTGCATCTTTCTACCCAGACTTCTGTAGAAAGGAATCTAAATATCTCGTTACTTACAAAGTACAATATGTGATCACCTGATTTTGGGGTGGGAGAGAGATGATTTCATTTACCTGGTCATCGTACCCTTCTATCTTCACAGGAGTGAACTGATCCATGTTATACTGAGCAAATGCACTGTCAGAAACAGAACATGAATGAGTTAACAGAGTCACTGCAGAATCACAATAATTGTCTTCAAATATATGAACTATCCCCCCCTCGAGTTTTATAGTGCAAAAAACTGCTAATGATCAAATCACATAGCTGCAGCCAACACAGATGTTAGAATGCAGCACCATCAGTAACCTCAGGGAATGAACAAAACAGGTAGACAGGACAGTTTAAGTGTAGTTATTTAAAGGGTTCAGGTTATGGATTAAATGTATACAAAATTATTAGCTTAGCTTTTCAATGTTCATAACCAGACAGTGCTACTATGGTCAACCAAAATGGAGCTTTTCATTTCAATCCATTTTGGCCAGAATGTAAAGACCTACTTTATATACATCTGGTAGGGTTTTAAAAGTTATTTTGTTGAATAGTAGACCCTGATGGCACACCACAGTTTGCTTTGGCTTTCAAAAGCCGTTTGCTTGCAGCAGAGAGTGGCTGTTTGAGAAATGCAAACCTAAAATGCCTTTAGGCACACAGAACTAGTTGTGTGCAACTTTGTAGCCTATCTCTAATGTCTTTTTAACGAAGCACAAACTGCATTCCCAGTTATTCTATACATGTAAAGCAAGAAACATACCTAGTGCCCCATCCCTATACATTAATACAGTAAAACCGACACTAATGCGACTTTGGGCTCCTGAGTCCATGCCACCAGGAGAACTGGCTAGAGGACCAAAGAAGACAAAATGACCCGGAGCTCTCACAACCTTATTGTTAAGAGTAACTCCTACCAGGAAAAGATAAGACATACTGAGCTTATAGTAGTTCTACAGATAATTATGCCACTTAAAATAGAGTTGTAAGTGCATGACATTACTAAGACTGCAGCACCCAGAGTTCTTTATATCATGCTTTGTTTCTTTTAAAAGAAAAAGAACAGCGGTACTTACTGGGCTGCCCCTTCCCTAAGAAGATTGTCATTGTTAAGCAGCAACCGAACATCTAGGAAAATAAATATCCATATAAACAACTGATATTTCAGCTGACTTTGAATTGCATGGAGGAAAAAAAGAAATTACTGATTTCTAAAGTACAAATAACTGATGTGCAAAGCAATAAGAAGCTATGGGTTTTCTGTCCGATAAAGACTCCAGATCTTATTGTTAAGTACAAGAAAGCTGGAATACTGAAAGCATACAGAGGAGTACGGTAAGCTTTGCCTGTTAAGATTCTGCATTTTCATGAATCACTGTAGAGGGCTCTGATAAATCCCAAAAGATACTAAAAAGGGAGATGGCAAAACCAGGGTGCATCTTAGACAAATGAACAAATATACTTTTCTTGTATAGGCTATTAAAGATTAACAGAGTAATTCCCAACATTCATCTGTTTTAGCTACACAAAAGAGTATGCTCAGGTGCAAGCAAACATTCATAGTTCTACCATCCTTCTCACAGACACAGGAGCAAGAAGCAAATCAAAGCCTTCATTTCTCTGCCAGAAAAATAAAAGTGGCCCAACTTCACATAGTTATTTATTTCATTCGATTTCTTGACTGCCCTTCCCCGCTTAATAATTTATAATTTTAGTTGTTAGAGGTGCAGGAATGATAATTCTCCAAAAGAACCAAGCTATTTATTTACTTATTTTATTTCCTGCCTTTCTCCCCAGTGGGAGGCCCAAAGCAGTGTTCTCTTTTCCTTCACTTTATTTGTGAGGCAGGTTAGGAAGTGTGTGTGACTGCTCTAAAGTCACCATGGAAGAACAGAGATTTGAACCAGAATCTCACATGGAGTATTCCAGCACTCTAATCACTACACTAACTTAGGGAAATTTAAGCCTTATATAGTACACTATTGTCTTCTAACTGGATGCTACAAACTGTGCCCATGGCAAAATGCAAAACTTGCATGAATACTTTTGTTCTCTTAACTTACCATTAAACACTTCATTGAATTCCCCAGGTGGTGCATGAGTGATGAATTTTGCAGCTATACGCACCTGCACGTAAAGGAGGAGTCATTAGTGGAGTCATCTTATTCAGATATATCAAACCTATGACCATAGAGCACACATGTGGCAACAAATGCAGCTACAGCAGTCATAGCTCATCAAGTCAGTCATATCTTGCCCAGACCCGGATAGCCTAGGCAAGCCTGATCTCGTCAGATCTCTGAAGCTAAGCAGGGCCATCCCTGGCAAGTACTTGGATGGAAGACCTCCAAGGAATACCAGAGCCGGGACACAAAGGCAGGCAGCAAGCCATCTCTCTGAACGTCTTTGCCTCCCAACCCTATTAGGGGTAACCAGAAGTCAGCCATGACTTCCAGGCATGCACACACCCATGTACATACACATTCACACAGCCAAAAAAAAAAAAGTCAGTCATGTCTCATCAAGTCAACAGAGGAAATGAGTGCTTTGGTGGCTGCATCAAAAGTCCCTGGTGGTTTTATCTAAGAAATCCTGAAATAACATGTATTCATTAACTAACAGCATCATGCATCATTAGTAGATTCAGTCAAGTCAGAGATGGCCAACTTTTCTAAATTAGGTGCCTTGGTATTTAACTGTAGTATGTGTGACATGATTGACAGGTGCAATTATTTCAAACCACTTCAGCACTATGACAAGATAAGATGTCAATGCTCCCTCATTTACAAAACTGTCATTGGTAAAGAAGTCATTGGCAAAAGGCTGGTCATCCCAGTATTAAACACTTGCATGCGATGTAATTCATCATAATGTTGTACTCTCTTCTTATATTCATATACCTGTTTTAACAATTTAAGCTCTACATCTATTGTGTATTGTGATCTCATGACCCATATTTTACATCTAGAGCAGGAGTGTCAAATATACGGCCTGGGAGCCAAAACTTGCCCATTCAGGGCTCTTATCCAACCCACAGACATCTGGTATGAGGGAGGGAAGACAGGAGGCTGTGGGGGGGGGGGGGTTTCCCTCACAGCTCAGCGAGGATTTGAGTTGCCACTACATGGGAGGGCTGAGCCAAGCAGCCAGTGCTGTCACCACCACACGGCGACAAGAGCAGAGGTTTGTTGATGAAGGGATGGGGTCAGCAGGGAAGAGAGGAGGAGGAAGGCCAGCGTGTGTATTGGGAGGCAACTGGGCTGTCTTGTGCATGCCGCTCTGAGGGGAAAGATATGCTGGCCTCAGAAGCAAGTGGAGGAGCAAAGGGGAAAAGGGGTGCCACTATTGCCACATGTCTGAACAGCCAAAGGGCCAGGGGGCAGGGTGAGTCTGGGGGGGGGGGTGATCCCCTTCTCCCCCCCCCACCTGTTTGTAGCCCATGAAGGAAAAGGGGTTGCGGGAGGACAAAAAACACCCCTTGGGTGTTTCAGAAACAGCCTCTCCATCAGGCCTTCCCCTCAGCCCTACAGCTTCTATGGGAAATGCAGAAGAAATGAGAACTGACATTGAGGGGATCTGGGAGAGCCAGGTTCAGAGCCCTGCTCCTCCTGAGCCAGGACCCTTGTCATCTGGGTCACTTGGGGCTGGTTGCTCAGCCTGGCCCACCTCACAGGGTTGGTGGTGGGGATGGGGCAGTGGAGGGGGAAGTCAGGTGTGCCTCCTTGAGATCTGCAGAGGTAGGACAGGGAAGAGAGGAAACAAAGAGTGAGAAACAGAGGGTGCATTCAGACGGGGCATTTACAACGGTATAGTTTCCCCCCCCCCCCCCCGTCTGATCGCTCTCCACCGTTGTAGAGCCACTTCCATTCGGAAGCCCGAGGCTTCCCATTTTCACCTGCCATTTTTTTTTTAGGTCGATATGCGCTTGGGCGAAGCTTCGCCCCGGCCTTTGTTTAAAAAACAGAAAGAAAAGGTCCTTAGTTTAACGTTTTAGAGGAGTCCGGGACCTCAGGGAGGCCAGTTTGCTCTTTAAACTTTAAAGGTAAGTCCTCTCTTCAGGGCATGCTTTTCTGGACAGGGTGTTTTGCGCATGCGTGAAGATCGCCATTCTGTGGATGGCTGCCTATGCGCATGCACAAACTGAGTTTTAAAAAAACCGCCGACACCCGCTGTGTGTGTACGGGCATACAGCGATGGGCTCCGCGGACAGGAGGTAAGTGTGATCGCGTTTCAGCCGGCATAAACTGCAACGGTTCCAACCGGTACAGTTTATGCCGGCTGAAATGCCCCGTCTGAACGCACCCAGACTGTAGTAGTGCTTGGCTGCAGAGGCTGGGCATATGGGGGTGTGTGCTGAAAAACGACCTTATTTACTTGCAGGAAAGATGGCTCATCTTGTAAAAGTGCGCTCTCTCTCTCTCTCATAACTAATTGTATGGAAATGTAGGATAGCGCCTCCTTTTATGGTATATCCTTTGGAAAAAACTTGCATATGATTAAATACATTCATTGAGGCTTTTGTGGGTTCCCCAGCAAATCAATTGCTTTCACTCCTAGGAATTGCTTTTGTTTGTATTTTGAGTAAGAAGTAATATCATTAATTGGGTTTGCCTGTGTCATATATGAAGTTTATATCTGCAGTGCATTACATTTTATGGCACACATGGTAGCCTGGCCCAACAAAGTAACATTTATGTCAGATCCGGCCCTTGTAACAAATGAGTTCAACACCTCTGACTTAGAGTCCTACTTTTCACAGCAAATGAAGACTTGAAGGCTACTTGGAAACTTGACATCAGTTTTCCAGGATCAGGCATTCAGAAACTGAACAAGATATTTGCAAGTAGCAGTACTTTTTACTCTCCGTATTGAACAGTCTGATAGACTTTTGGTAACAGTGATGTAATAATGCCTTCTTGCTGCCTTCCAGTGGAGAATATATGTAGTCATTTAGATCAGGCTGTTCCAAAGGCTAACAACTAGGTTAAAAAACAAAACAGGGATTCAGATCCTCATTTTCTGTTCAGCTGCTGGGCTTGATATTAGTCAACTAACTTGTCTAATATTTTTAACTGACCAACTGTTTGGCCACAGTCAAATATCAAATATAATCTGAAGCCAAAAATCCCATTAAATAGGTAGAAGCTGAACATCTGCATTAGAGCATTGTTTTATTTTCACAAAGGCAGGTGAAAGCTGCTTGCCCCCAAGACCTGCAGCAGTCAAAGGCAAACTTAAAAGTACAGCAAAGCCTCTCCAGCAGGTAGGGTTGCCAACAACCTGGAGAAAATTGCCCTGCCCTTTAACAGAGATTTAATGTATGGAAATAGGGAGATGAAGCTCAAATCAAAGATTTCATCCCTGCTCACCCTGAACTGTAAATAAAATTCTGCCATCAATGTCTGGCTTTGTGCTGGGAGTTTTCCAAATCACAGACTATTCATAATGCAAAAAAAGAGAAAATATTCCTAGAAGTTTGTATTTCTACTGCATTCACTGAATAATTCTCCAAAACTAGGCATATTGTATATATGTTACTTTGACTGCACAAATGTTTTTCTTGTTTCCTCCCCATTGACCTGTACAAGAAAAACATGAAACAGATTTGGAAACACACAACTCTATCAACACAGGAACAGTAGACATTAATTTCTATTCAAGCTGCCTTTAGTCTCTCTGATGATGGCAGAATTTGCCTGCAGCTGGTTTGGCCTTCACTACTAAACCTCATGGTTTATCATAATCAATGCTGTCCTAGTCTCCATTCTTGAGCTACTGTTCTTTCATAATTTTCACCTGAGGAAAGAAGTGAGGACAATTCCACACATGCTTTGGAATCAGCTCTGGAATGTATCAATTCATGAACTTGATGGAGCTGTTCTGTGGCACATTTTCTCCTCATCTCTCTGGAAGTGGATAGTTTACTGGAAACTTTACAGAAGTCCAATAATTAATTTCCATAAAGTGGTAAGGGAATTAAAATACATAGAACAGCAATTGCTAAGAAGATCTGGAAAAAACAGGTCAGATTCCCAAGACACTACTTGAACTGCCAAAAGCTGGTCAAAAAAGAAAAGGATTTTGACAGAAATGGAACAACTTTGTTTAAAACCACCTTACAACAATTTTTGACTTCATTATATCCAGATAACCAAGGCACTAGAGGGCCACGAAGATGAGGAAGGTTATATATAGAGCAGCTTCCCAAGGGGCATTCATTCAACAAATATAATACACTCAAGTGTACACTGTATGAAGTATTTTTGCCAATATTCATATAAACCCACATCAGAGGAAAAAAGTACAATGACTTTTGGTCACACTGGACTGCATTTAAATGCTAGCTTTCCTAAATGTGCGTGTTAAGTGCTGTCAGGTCACTTCCAACTTATGGCTTCCCTATGAATTAATGTCCTCCAAAATATCCTATTGTTAACAGCCTTGCTCAGGTCTTGCAAACTGGAGGCTTTGGCTTCCTTGACTGAGTAAATCCATCTCATGTTGGACCTTCCTCTTTTCCTGCTGCCTTCAACGTTCCCTAGCATCATTGTTTTTTCCAGTGACTCTTGTCTTCTCATAATGTGAGACTCAGTTTAGTCATTCTAACTTCAAGGGAGAGTTCAGGCTTGATTTGATCTAGAATCCACTTATATTACAAGCATCATGACCCTATCTTATGCACCAGATGACCATAAAGCTGACTGCATACACACACTGCAAGTATTGGCTAAGTAACATACTGTACCATCCTCACATCATCATCCTCCCCTCCATTTTCCTTCTTTAAAAATCTCATACATATACATATGACCTGAGTACTCTGCAGGATATATCATCAAGTTTTCACTGCCTTACAACTCTATGAAATAGAAGGGAACAAAACACTTTTACTGTCAGTCAGGAAGGAATTGCTACATTTTCAGGCTCTAACATGTCTGTGTATATGGGAAAGAAGGAACAATAGAATATAATTTCCCACCATGACAAAGCTGCCTCCAACTCTGATTTAAAAATGGGGGGGGGGGGATGAGAGACTAGTCTGAGACACAGATTACTAAATTAAAGGTAGTAAAAATACTTCTACCCCATATTCTCTCCACAGGCTTTACAGAGCACTTCCTTAGATG